AGTAGCAAAAATTGACCATGGGCCAGTTTCTTCGTTTCTTCGCACACTATTAGCCGACGTTTTTCGGAAATTACACACACGAAGAGCTACAATAGAAATGAGAAATGTCTGAGCTTTTTGGGTGCTTCCTATTGTTATGCTTTGTGGGTTTAAGGGAAGTCTAGGTGGACCTGATTTACACATGAAGCGCTCTAATAGGGGTAAATGGACATTGTTATTGTGGAAGAAGAAAATCTGAATGTGAGAAATGTCTCCATTTTCTTTTCTTTGCTGTCTGGTTGTCCGGCCACTTATTGCAATAGCACTTTGGAAAGTCATGAAATCAAAATAATTGCTACACAGCATTTCATATCTTTCAAAAAAAGCGTAAAATAAAACGCCATTGAAATTCAAAAAGTCAAAAAAAAAACACCGCGAAAAATCTTACTCAAAAGTATTAAAGTATTTAAGTCAATTTTTGTCGAAGGTGTTAAAGTACATATTTGAGCCATTTTCAAGAATTTATTGCTCATTTTAGGCTTACCTAACGGATAAGCGATTAGGTAATTTTTTTCGCAATTTTTTTCTGATTCTAGAAAATTCCAGAAACTTTTTGAACTTCAAATATCAATTCCAATTCAAGGCATGATGGGGTCTACCCAGCTGCAAGATCTACTCCGAAAATGCACGCGTTGCGTAAAAGTTTACGACACTAATTCATTTATACTCTTCAAGATTTATTTTCTGTCTGACTTCATGCTTTTTTCTTTTCTATGATTTTTTTTGTCTTTCAGTGCATGGCAGTCGGATGTTCCTAATGTTTAGAAAAGAGAGATAAGATTGAAAATTTTCAGAAATTTTTTTCAGGTGCGTTATTAAGAATTGACGCGGACAGCTCAGAAATTCTTTTCGAAACTTTCCAAAAAAGCTTCTTGGTGAAGATGCCAATGAAATGCTAAGGTGTAACAAAAAATAATATAGAAATATCCGAATGGTTTTCCAAAGATTGGTTTGAATTTCATTTAGAATGTGTCAGAATGCAACATAAAGCTGTTAGAATAGAAAAAAACGTCAAACAGTTCGTCCAGCGGCGTATTGTCTGATTAAATACGCGGCAGCTAGTTGAAGCTGGTTCGTGTACACCTATAGCCATTCTCGTATCTCTTATCCATTGCCGATTTGGCCATCGTTTGTCTTCTCTTCCGCCCAGATGTTCTTGTAGCGACTGCGATCTATTGTCTTCGTTCAGAGACCACAAACGTCACTATCACTGTTCGGCTAGCATTCATCCCCATTTGTGTTGATTAATACATTAGCCGTGCCATGGTTCTATTTTGGAACTGACCGGTTGTCGAATGTCTGACGGGTTTTATAACATGCGTGGGAATTAAGTATAGGCTTTGGGCGGTAGAGGATGCAAGATTTGAGTCGCAAATATCGAATTTGCGATGATAAAGGGCTAGCAGATTAGGGCTTTGAAACAAGTATGTTAGAAACTTGTACAGTGTTACATTGTTTGAGCGGCTGAAGAAAACTGGTACTTTCGACATCCACATCTTTTATGTCATCACTTCGCGGCAAGTTGCCATGCAGGTGACTCATGTTTATACATAAAATTACAACCAAACGCCTAAGCAAGTTTTATTCAAGGCTTATGGCTTTGTAGAAAAAATCACGCAGCGTATATTCACGGGATAATTTCCTATCTAATTGTTTTGAGATGCCAGTGCATCGAAAATGTAACGAAGAACAGTGAGGGGGTAGAGGACTATACAGGGTGCCCCAAAAAAATGTATCGAACGTTTGATCGTTGATATCTCTCTTCTGAAGAAGTCTTTTCCCTTGCTTTAGGTACCAATCTGTAGAGCTGGCTTCAACTTAGATTTGCATTATAGAACGAATCACCCATCTTTCTTCATTACTGTAGGATTACGGTAGAAACTTGAAACATATGGTGTCAATGTGGAAAAAGCTGCCGTTTCAAAATTTTTCAAAAAAAAATGTGAAAACTTGTGTAATAGGGTTTTTATGGACGCTTAGTTTGATACTCAACTATTCACGAAATTGGAAGCCTTCTAAACGGTGTAACCGCACTTTTTAGGAACATTGAAAAAATGGCCGCTACCTCTTACCTGGCATAACTCTTCACTGAAGCATCATAAAAAGTTGGGAACTTTGCAGTTGGAGTCAACAACTCTAAATAACCTAGTGTAAAAGTTTTCAGGCTGTTTTGTTTCCTTTCTGAGGCAAAATATGGCCTTTCATGGCTCAAAACGCTCCTTGAAGTTTCTACCGTAATCCTACAGTAATGAAAAGAGATGGGTGATTCGTTCTATAACGCAAATCTAAGTTGAAGCCAGCTCTACAAAATGGTACCTAAAGCAAGGGAAAAGACTTCTTCAGAAGAGAGATATCAACGATCAAACGTTCGATACATTTTTTGGGACACCCTGTATGTCACCGAAATGGGGTGGTCCCACGCGGACATCTGCGACAAAGCGCGCAGCTCAATATCGTATAGGCATACAGATTTGTACCAGCTGCCTGCGGGGAGACGGTCAAGTGGCGCGATTTATTTCGCTGTCAGCAACTCAAAACTCCAGTTTAGTGCTACGCGAGTCTTCAAAAAGTACCATATGAAGTGCTTGGGTTACTATCTGTCTAAGATGACCATTTGCTGAGTTTGGTGGCTTTTGCTGGAAAACGGACAGAAATATTCAAAAGTTTATTTTTAGCTGCATTTTCATGGGTTTTTGACCTTAAAAATTGCTTTTTTTGAGTTGATTCCGAGGTAGCAAGATTGAGAAACCCAAGCAGCTATCTAATATATCTCCTTCAGAAATTTAGATACTTTTAGAATGTTATAAAACACTTATTATGTGCTGTTTGGTGTTCATCTGGCAATAAAAATCGCGCCTCTTGACCGTAGCCTCCTATCTAGCCTGCCTGCGCAGGGTAGAGCCTATCGGCACATATAATCCTCTACACATAAAGAGGTAAAACAGTTATTGCACTAATTATATATGGGTTGGCTAATAGATAATTTCCACCAAATGGTGCAGACAAATCTTTGTCGAGTGTTTGGTATCTCTAGAGCATTTAAATGAATTTACAATGTAATTTCTGTTTGAATAGGATTCATTTCTTGATAAAGGAAAGGCGCAAAGAAGTGAGACGCCTTAATTTCCTCAATGAGATTTTCTACCCATTTAAGCTCGATAAAAATATACATAGCAACATACTGATCTCATCATATCCATTAGAGTATCAAAACGAAGCCTAGAAAGTCAAAGAACTGAGTTTTTACTAATTTAGTCATATTGGGGTATAATTGTCCTTGTAGGAGAAAGTTCTGAGTAAATGATATGTGATAATGGAAGCTTAAAACTGCCTCCTCGCTAAACCATCATGGAAAGAGGCTACAGAAATTTTTTTAGGGAGATTTGCATGCCGAAACGAAACGATCTTTTAGCCAACCTGAAAGTTTATTTCACCACTTTTGTATATGAATCCATTTTTTCACTTAAATCCATGGCTTATTTGCGTTGCCCTGACTTCATGTTGACAGTGGGACCGTGAAACCTACATAGTCATTTACAGTCTTCAGTAGGTGCCCTAATTTTTGAACATGTGCGATTGCACGCGCTACACATAATGTACGTATTCTCCTGAATTCTTCTGATCGTTTGGCAAACATGTTGTGAATGTTTGTCTCGATGCCTAGAATGAACAAAAACTAAGAAAAAACGCTGAAAACTTGTGCGAAGTGGTGTACAATTATAGGATAGAGCATGTGGTCTCAATAGTGTGTGCAATTGCACATGTTAGGTTAAGATATGCGTAGACAGCTTATAAGAGGCAAAGGTACTTTCCATGATTTTGATGTCTGTGCATTGAAAATTAAAGACGTTTTAAAGAGATTTTTGAGGTTCTGCTCCCTATAATGATGAGATACCTCAAAAATTTTTCTTGGAAAGTTGACTCCAAATTGTTCATCTAAAAAATTGCTCGAAGAATACTTCATTGTGAAAAAAAATGTGGCAGATTTGTATCTGCCATAATACGTGCCTTTGCTACTTATGACCGGGAGCTCTTGCTGTCATTTTATTTTCATCGGTCTAAACAGATACATAACTTTTGCTAATCTATCACAGTGCAAAAGTTATGTATTGTTGCTTTGAAAATAGAAGTTTCTAAAGAGAGTAAGCAAGTTTCAAACTTGTTTGATTTTCTTTCAACTAATAGATGAGTATACATGGCTATGAGTTTCAGCAAACGATTGTTGAGCGTCTGTGGAATCAACTTTTTCAAATCTTCAACCATAATTACATCTTGCCTTAGCTTATTGATAAATCGAATTGATAAAATAAACTTCTTCTGCTAGGAACATTCAACTGAAAAACTTTTAGTGGTTTGGGGCTGGTTTTGAATTTAGCATAATGTGTAGTGCCTTTGTTTGGCGTTTTTACCCGTAAGTAGAGTAGAGTGTGGGCGATTTGGAGTTATTGCGTGATTGGTGCAGTGCGGGCGAGCGCCGTAGTCGCGCACAAGGCCCTAGGTTCGACTCCCGCGGCCCAAAAAAACGTTCGTTGATGACATTGCATAACCACCGAGATATCTGATCTTTGTGATTACCATTCATGCAACACCAACTGAGAACGATGCTTCATTTTACATTGGACGCACATCATGCATTTTACATTGGACGCACATCATGTGAACAAATATACTCAAAATAAAAAAATAAATAAAAATACACAAAAAAGAAAATACAAACATGGGCAGACACCAATTTTGGAAAACTATCTACATGATTTTAGGTGGGGAACATGCTAGTTAATTGGTAGATTTGGAAGTTAGATTGCTACCCGGACTATCTTACGTTGATAGTTGGTTAGAAATTTACAATTGCTGATTTATGAGGGAAGGAGGAGGGGGGGGGGGGGAGAGAGACACATCGAAGAAAGTACAACAGCATATATAGGTAATGAAATGCTCATTTTTGACTATAAACTCGGTAATCAGTCTGCATGTTTCAATTGATAGTCTATTTCTGTTCTTCCATTACTCTTCAGCTTTTCCCTTCTTCGTTCGTTGTAACCTGTTCGCATATGGTGGACTACTTTGTTGAAGACTCTGAATGTAGGTGTTAATTTCGCTCTTTAAGAATTGCTCCAGAAGGCACTAAAAAGTACCTTTGGTAAGCTAAAATCATCTCGGGTCGCTTTTCCTCGTCATCCATGTAACTTGATAAAGTGTCGTCGATTGCTTCAGCCATGCAAACCTATGAAATTACTGTTCTAGAAGGTAATCTTGAGCGCGAAAATTTTAACTAATTGGTTTTTTGAGTTTTTCCTAATCACGAGAAGAGGTCCTTACGACACTCGCGTCATTTTTCGGCAACATAAAAGTGAATTTGTTCCAAATTTCCGTTTGGTTCCTTCCTTTAAAGGAGTGACATTATTATCATAACATTATCATAATCATAACATCATCATAACATACATAACGATTGATTATGTAATCTTTCTAAGTTTCTCAATTTTTAAAAGGTAGGCAACCTAGTCTTACCAAGAAAATGTCCCAGAAAGTGGAATTGAACCCTCTGGATATAAAATCAGTATGCCGTGCTCCCAGCTCTTCACAGGTACTGCGAACCAAATCGTCGTCAAGTTGTAGAGTGATTATCTAAAACTGTTTCACTGAGGAAATATATTAATTAGATAATTGATCAGAGTTTTCGTAAAAAAGACGTGTAATACGAGGAAAGAAATGAAGTGGAGAAAAATAAAAATAAGCATAAGTAACATCTAACTGCAAGTTTTATCTAATTGCTTGAAAATCGCTGAAATCTCAAGAATTTTCTAAAGCACCGCTCCCGTTTGTTGTCAAAAACAACTGCAATTTGAAATTGTTGTTCATTGAGATATTTTTTTTACAAGTTCCCACTGTTTATTTCCTTTCTCCAAGTTCCCTGAGTATCATTTATCATGAAGCAAAAATAAGGCTACCTACCAGTCTGTAGAAAAATTTTTGTATCGTTGCTGCCAAATTTACGAATGCTTTGTTATCCTCTGGATTCTCATTGTCAGCTATACCAAAGGCTTGCTTAAATAATGGACTGATATTCAATATTAAGAAATACCTAGAAACTTGAAAATCACCTTTATTGAGGTGCTGCGTGCGGCAGATGCATTCCAAACATTGATGAATAGGTTCGGTTCACGTTCGAGCAATCTGAAATCACTATTTGAAATCACTATCTCACAATCTATGTCAGTGTATTTGATTTTGCTCGATCGTAAAAGTTGATTTTCATTGCACTCTACAATTTCGAGAAAACTGAGATTTTCAAAACCCCTGTGTTGAGTTTTTCAGAAGACCAATCAATCAGTGCCTATATGTCAATACATGGGAATGCATCTACAAGTGCATCTGATGCATCCACAGAAAAAGCTCGAAAATTTTTGCATATTTTTTGTGACAAAAGCACGTTCAGTTTTTTTATAATAATCAGGATTTCGCCCGATTTTCAAGCTTGTTTATTGCTTGAAAGACATCAACGGCGATTTAAGTATATCGGCTGATAACTAAATAAATTTTATGCAACCAAAAGAAGCTTTTTCCTCACAAAAAGTTCGTCACCATGAGCCCTAGCAATCTCGCATCTTTTAGATCTTATGAGAAATCAAAGTTTGATTATGTGTATCTCCGATGATGTGCAGAAACAAAACTCTATTCTCAAACAAATCTCTGCTTCTGGGCGGATATCGTCAGCTACTTTTATCAGCTATCGATTTTATTGATTTTTCGTAAGCTTTCGGGGGTTGAAACGGGTACGTAGGCATGCTGATTGCGAAAACAAAATAAGGACAAGTGCATAGCATATAAAAGTGGGACATATACAGGGAAACGTTGTGTAAAAATGGAGCGAAATCTTAGATTCCATCATGGTAGGCCAACAGGAACGGAGCGAAGCTGAGTATTCTAGCTATCTCGCATAAAGAAGAAAAATTACTTCAATAAAAAAAAAACGGCGCTTTCTTTTTTTCTGCAGGATGACAAAATTTGCAAAATGTTGGACTATCAAGATGTTGCGATGTTGTAGGTGCTTTATGCGCTTATTTTGATACTGGTCAAAGTGAAGAAATACTTACCGTGGCCATTCTTGAATCACTAATTTTTTGCTTTTACTCGCTATGGGACCAACTGCAGGTGAACCAATCACGGGAACATCCTTTTTGCCGCGTATTGTGGAAAGCAATCCCATCATACCTGAACATAGAAGGTGCAAGATAAGATTTTCAAATCAATTCAGTCATACGGTGAATGTCCTCGAATATTCTTTAGCAATACTAACTCAATTATACAATGTTCGCTCATTGATAAAACATATGATGAATCAGAGCGAAAGCTATTCAGTAAAAGAAAATAATTTGAAATAGGAGCAGCTGATGATAATTGTCTAGACTTCGTAAATCGCGATAATGAGTCTTACTTCCGGGACATTCAACTTTGTTATAGATTGCGATGTTTGCAAATATAAAATTGTACTGGGCGTTACAAATTTTTCTTGCTATAATGTAGCGCTAAAAACATATTGCTCAAGCAGACTTGCCTGAGGGAAAACACTCAAAAAAGGTGGTCAACAGTGAGAAGAAGTTAAATATGTCTCTTGCGTAATGAATTTTCTGCCTCAATGAACAAGGAACAGTTACTGTCTAAAGATAGCTGAGAATGCACTAATGTGTTGCGTTCGTTCTTGCTACGTAATGATTTTCAATGCTTAAGTTATTTTCTTGGGATGAAAATAGTGCTTGCAACCATAAAAGATAGAAAGTAATGTACTTTGAAAGACATCAGTGTGTGCTTTGAATCTGCGCTTGAATTGGTTCTCCGTTTCTAATTGTCTTAGCTTTGAAGAAAAGGATGGCTAATCGAAGTGAAATTGTAAGATGAGAATACCACTATGTAAGGCATGAAACGCTGCTTTCAAACTTTTTTATCTGCAGAGCCATAGAGATTTGGGTTTATTGGAGCAAACAATCGTTTGCGAAAAATGAATATGTGATGTTTTAGTGCTCAAATGAATCAGTGTTTATTAGCAGAGCATTATGCAATAGCTACTTCTATGAAGTACAGTTGTAGCGGCGGAATCCGACCAATGCGGGATTTGCGGGATTTAGTTATAACTTCTTCTAAAACAACTTTATTTGGAAAAACTCAGAAATTCACTCGAACTTGACCGACTATTGCGCCCAAACAAACAACTTTTTATATGAGAAGATTCGCCTCGTCGAGCTGAGTTGAATAACGTTTTTGGTTTCAAAATTCGTGCACTCTGAACCAAGATATGGCGATGAGTGCAAAGGTAGGAGAACTCCGGCGGTGTCTTCTTCTCAAATTGCGAGCGGTAGTTACATTACATTTCAAAAGGCCACTTCGACTAACTATTTCTCAGTTATTAGTAGCTTTCGATAGATTGTTGGCCAAAAAAAAACAAGTCTTGCAGTTTAGGTTATCGGTTCTTGGAGCTTCCGAAAGTCCTTGATTTCTAAGTCTCAACAAACCGCTTGACTTTATAGAATTTTGAAGAAGAAAAAATGGCAGTATGCTCAAGAAAGTCTGGACTTCTGCCAAAGTTAGAAGGTCCAGTAAATGCTGGTTTTGACTTTATTTGTTAACCTAAAATTCTCCTAGAAAAATCTGTGTTGACAGATTTCTTTCATGATTGCAGATAAAATTCTGTGCTTTATCTGAAGCACGTATTATTCATGTATTAAGCACGTATTATTCACAAATTATGTCACAAATTTCTGTGAGTGAAATCAAAATGATTTTTTTTCATAGTTTCTGTGCAAGATTTTGTTTCAACAGAAGACATTCAAAAATTCTGCGAGTTGTCAAGAAAAAGAGAGAAGATCTTTTAAAATTAGATGGAAGAAGTCAACATAACTGGTCCTTCATTGGATGTAATTCTAAAATATGACCAATCTACGATGGGTAATAGCTAGAGCAGGAACTGAATTAGCATTTCCAAGTAAATCTTAGTCACCGAGACTTCCTTGCAATTACGCAACTAACAGTTTTGATTGACATTAGTCAGAGATCTAAAAGACAATTGCAAGAATTTCCACAAGTTTAGATAATTGAGCCAAAACTTGGAAATAAAATTAATGCTTGAAAACCAGGACAACAAAAGTTGTTGAGATTATATTAGTGTAAGTGATGGCAATAAGAGTGTTCGAAATTTTAGACATTCCAAACGAAAACATGTTTCTGATAAAACTTCAGTGATTGAATCCCACCCTGGAGCACCTCCTTTTATGATCTACAAATTGTTTACTAAAAGCCATTGAAAGTGTTGACTGTTGGGTTGAAAGATTCTTTGTGAGATACTGGCTATTAAACGGAAGAAATAATTGCTTGTTGCTCGATGAAACACAAGCTAATCAGAAAAAAGTGGTGGTTGATCAGAGAGATTTTGAGCAAGGATGCGATCACAAACGAGCATCTTAAATAATTGAAATCCGAGCAGAAATTATATGCAATACTAATTAAAATATTACACCTTATTCAAACACTGTTGATTTTTAGGATTTTTATGAGAGATTGGACATTGTTAATTTCAGTGAGAGGAATGCTTGGTAGAATATTATAATACTTGTAAGTAAAAAATTTGAATTGCTATTTTTCCATTTATTTTTTAGGTTAACCAAAGCTACCTCGCTAGGAAAGAAAAACATTTTTTAAACTTCTCAGGAATGATGGGTTATATCCCAAAAATTTTTATGGTGCTTCTTAAACATAGTTGTGTACTGAATGAGAGACAATCAGAAAGTACAAGGCAAGAAACCAACAACTTATCAGACAGTTGTGATGATTACTGTAATTTTATAGTATTTTCGCAATTATGGACATTCAACTTTTGGTCAGGTGATTTCAAGCACGTGGTATAGCCCTTTTAAAAACACAAGTTCAAAAGCTCAAGCTTTAAAACTGTTCTCGAACTATTCTATCAAGGAAGTTTTGAGATCTACAAGGAAGTTGGGCACATTTTCGTGAAATAGCTGCGAAGCATTCAATTATGGGCCTCATCTCTGCAGAAGTAGTCAATTTCCGCCTCCGCCCCTCCCCCACTCCCCTCTAGGAAAGACATAAGAAAATGGGAGCACTCTATATTTATCAAGCTTTATTGCACATGAGAAACTGGGAATGGTGTGGGCAAATAAGCATGAAAACAAACATCCTGCCAGCTCTCAAGGCTGGCTTGGTTGCTTGTGTTGTGACGCGAATAGGGAGAAATTGTCAGGGGATTGAGGGAGTGATTTATTGACTAGACATAGAATAAGAGAATTTTGAAGGAAATGTGAGAGAAACGGAAAACATGGGCCTAGAACTTTCGTTAGAATTTTCCATCCTTGGCAGATCATTTCAGAAGAAGAAGACAGTTAAACTGAGGAAGAAAGACATTTTATTTTTTTGTCATTGGTTCCATGTGATCGTAAATCTTATTTTAACAAAAGATTACGTTGTTAGCTTAGATAGATATTAAATGAGCAAGTGGTAGAGCTAAGAGGTGTCAAAGAAATGAGACAGGAGTTCTTGTTAGAATTTTTTATCAACAGATCTAATCTAATATATAAAGAATCGTAACGCCAATTCAAAAAACAGCAAATAGCGGGAAACCGCGGTGCGGTACCGAAGCGCGCGAATGCAATCTAGCACCTTTAATAACTGGTTCCCTAGTATGAGAAAATTAATAAGGTTAAAGAGCTGGATAGTAAAAAATATGAGTATGTCAGTACTCCCTGATATCCAAAAAAGGGAACTAAAAAACAGGAGGGCCGAGACCATTTCAGTAAGCCAATGTCTAGAGTAACTTTTACTTATGTAATTTCTTTTGATGCTTCATTTTCGGAAATCTTGTTTGAGGAAAAGGTGTTGTTTTCTAGCAAATATGATGAAAAAAAAACTACTGAGATAGTTATGTTCATTTTTTGTTTAATTTATTTTTTTTGTTTGTACCGTTTATTTTTCAGTTTTTGCATCTCAACAAAACTGTTGTCTAATCTACAACCGGGTAGATTTTGCAGTTAGCCTTTCACACATAAGTCATAATTAATTTTCCATTTTATTGCTTTGTTAGAAGTGCAAAAGGCATGCTCAGTCTGGGAATGATCGTCCTACTATTCATAATTCGATATCCGTCAAAAAATTATCTATGATTGACATATCACTCGTAAAAAGTAAACAAAAACGTGAAATTCTCGATGAAAACGTACGACAGGCCGCAACATTCAAGTAAACAATCGTCTAAAATAACATTTTTTTGATTCCTAAATTGAAGCTTTAGTCAAATTATTCCAATTCCGACGCCATTCAATTTCCTCAATTTTATACTCAAAAGGTGACGTCAGCATAATTTGCAAACTATTCGTAGCAGTCAACAACAGCAGAGTAAAATTAATTCGCCTCCTCATGAAAAACAACGAGTTATTTTTGTGCTGAAAATTACTTTGTTAGTCACAACTAATCAAAAAGAGAAAAAACTTTTTTTCTGTTGGATTTACGCCTATTGCGGATGATGCTTCGAGGTTTCGATGCAGATCTTTGTACTCTCGTTTGGCGAATCTTTTCTGAGTCACTGGGCTACTCGATAAGGATAATTGGGGATAAGTAGCAAGTCAGAGTTACGCGGGAGGGGAGTTCGAAGATGGAAGCTTGACGTTTATATTCCGGGAAATTCTTAAGATTTAGGATTACTGTAGAAGCTCAAAATAGGCAGCTTTGGTCCTACGCAATATGTTGTCAATCTGTAAGATAATTACGAAAAATCCTGACTTTTCGTCTCAAAGTATGAAGAAGTCATTCAAAAATTTTCATTTGTCACGTAGCAATTTTATCGGATTTTCTGCTCATTTTTCATAATTTTTCCCTTCTTTTTGAGCTGAAAATATGTTTTAAGAAGGAAGCAAAAGCAAGATCTATCTCGCGGAAGAGTACGGATATGTGTACGAATTCCGTAAATTCAATAAATTAGCAGTGGAGAAATGCTCCTCCTCGAATGACGTGATGACGCTGTCGAGCCAAAGGACCGAAGTTTGCGCACATTAATTAATCGCTTAGTGAAGCAAACATGGCAATTGCTCACATGATTTTTTTTCAGCCAATCACTGTTTCCAGCCGAATTTACAACAAAAAATTGTGAGGCTATCAGAATTATAGCAAGCTTGGAAATTTTTTTGAAGCTAGTGCAAAAGTTCATGTCTT